TTTCTTATTTGTTATTTCTATCTCACAAAAAGAAGTTGAGCATTTTTATACTTAAAGCAAGAATCTACCAACACAAAACATAGCAATTACTGAATCTCATATAAGCCAAAGGTAAAGAATGGTATTTCTTTTAAGTGAGGTCTCAAAGATATCTGGTGACCTTCATCATTCATAGCGACTACTACACATGACACTAGCTGGAAGAGAAATTTCACTTCTACTGACTACTTCTAATAAAGTGTACAAGGCTGTGTCTACAAAATACCCAAATAAGCAAACAAAATCTCCTAATACTCCTCAAAATCCAAACACCTCATATTTCTTCCTGAGCAGTCTAAAAGCCACGCATTGCAACATACCTTTGATTACATTTTGGGGAACAAAATTGTTGTTCTCTCCATGTAAGGTGGTGAATAAACATCGCATGCATTCCTAACTACATGGGTTACTCAGATCACAAAGTGTGCCAGACGGCGTTAGTGACACAGGGTCTTATCCCACCTCTCTGCGTACACGGGAACCTTGGCAGTGCTCCTATTCCAGCCAATACAACGGAATGGGCTTAAGAGAAGGTCTTGGCTTTCAACTGCAAAAGGACCACTAAGCTTTCTTTGAACAATAATCAAGAGAACATGAGAAAGAAACAGCCTCATACTTGAGCTTTGTCTCATTGAAATAAAATAAAACCAAAAAACCCAAACCCACACAACACGCAGTGCAGTATTCTCAGAGCGCTGCCAACTGGCACAGAAAGAGGCCTTTTAAGCACGTTAGAACAATCTGTACTTTTTCTTTAATACAGTCACTGTCCCTGTAGTTGCTACCTTTTGGTATATCAGAAACCCCAAAACTTTAGGAAGTGCACACATTTGCTTGCTTCTTATGACAATCTAGATACTGACACAGGAGAAAAAAACAGAAGTTACAAAGCTCTAGTTTAGCAAACCTGGCCTAACCAACTACACAAGTAAAATCCCCTGGGTGATGAAAAACAAGGATGATAATTTAGTTCTAATGCCTGAGAGCTACTCACATATTAAGAGTTCATAGCCAACAAAAGGCACAACCTCTCGCTGTAAAGGGAAACCAGTTAATAACTCTGAAAGTCTAAAAGACATTTAAAAAAATGCAAAACTGCTTAATGCCACAGGAGCTTAAATTCAAACTTCTGTAAACAGGTTTAGCTCTGCTGATTGAAACAGAAATGCACACTGAATATTTTTGCAAGTATAAGGCCAAAGACACAGGTGTAGGATTGTTTCTGCCAGCAACAATGAGGGCTCCAAAGCCAGAATGCTAACAGTTCTTCCTGGATTCAAAGGCTCTTCCAGGTATAAAGACTACTGCTTTCCAAGTACTTCAGTGTCACGGATATAAGAATTTTTACCATCAGATCATTTGGAGGACAGTTTGTTTACAAGAAATAGAAGACAAAATTCCAAGCATTACTCTTTGTTAAACCTTACTGAAATTCTGAGTCCTGAACTAAGTTAAGACTAAGTTTGATCTCTTAAGAAAACAAAATTGCCTGTATGTATGTACACAGATGTCTCAATGCCCTGCCTTTTGTTTCATTTTATTTTCTAATGAACTATGCTTTATTCAAGACTCTTCAGCTGATAATCAGCTATTGTCCTCTAAGTACAGCTAAATGAGAAAGAAAGGAGATAAGGAGATAAGGACCGGCAGGTTCCAAGTGAAACCGTGAAAGCAATAATAATAAAGTGAAACAGAACACTGATCTCAGTGAAGAGATCACAAAGGAGGGGGAGCTGGGAAGGGGCATCTCTTTCCAGTGAGCCAGAGAAAGGGCCTTCCCTTTTTTCTTAACACCCGGAAAACAGATTATGTTTTCTGGTCTGATTCAAGTTGCAGGCAAATATGGGCCAGCCACAGACCAAAGATTTTAAGGAGGAACAAATTAAAAATTAATTTGTTATCTACTTATTTGAATACCAAAACGGTCAAGTTTAATATCATCGTGAAAAAATTTGGTACCAGATAGGTGTTCTATATTTATCTTGGCATAAAAAAATAATATTCTTTTCCATCAAATCCTCTTCTTTACATACAGTGGAATTTATATAGCATTTTTGTAACCACCAAATAACTGCATCATGTATAGCTATGTCTGTCAAGCAAGATTCCTCTAACAGGAAGCAATATATTTAACAACCTCGTTAGCCAAACTCCTCCCAGGCTCTCCCTCAAAATAACCCACCACATACGCATGTCTACCTAGCACAGTAGAACTGTTTTTAGTATATTGAAGTATTTTTAGTATATTTAAGTGTATAGTACTATGCTACTGAAACAAGAAAGAACTGCATTCTAACCATAAACTTTTATTCATAAGAATTTTTCCCTGAAAATCTTTTGTCTTTAAACAGCCAAACCAGAAGTTATGAAAAAAAAACCCAAATCCTGAAACTGTTACACTTAAAATAACTTAAAAAGTGACTTCATAAAAATATACATGGAATAATTATTTTTAATTTTCTACATTATGTTACAATGAATGGGTCAGTCAGAATTATCCATACAAATAATAAAAAGTTATAGGAGAAGCTGAGGCTGTCTTTATCATACAAAAGCAATGAAGAGCAAAGAGGAAAATACTCCAGATCATCTATTGTGCAAGCAAGAAAGCCTTTGCCGAAACAAACAAAAAGAAGAAGTCTACCTGTTGGAGGTCCAATGTAATAGTCACATAATGATATTCAATTCCATTCTGGATACTAGGGCTTTGCCACCAAGTGTTCTTGCCATCAATTGCATTTGTTATCGGATGTCGTTCTGTCAGAACAGCAGAAATACAGAAATATATTTCAAATTTATTATGAGATTTAAATGTTTTTAGATCTAAAATCTAGATTTGAATACAATTACAGAACTAATGAGGCAGCACTTTAAAATAAAAACCAGGAAATTATTTTTTCTTTAACGCTTGGAGCAACGGTCATGCTTATTATTAGTGGAATACTTGTCTAATGTTAATTGTTTCATTTCAGTTAGGATCACAAGAAGCTGATTCAGAACACCTAAAAGGACTTGGATGCTCTACTGATTCTACACAGTAAGTAGGCATCTAAATCAAGTGAACATTGCCTGCAATCTTCCAAAGTTTCAGGTACTGTGAAGTCATTAAATGTTGCAACCGGAACAACAAATCAGGAACCTGAGCCACAGTGTGCAGGGAAAGGAGAGATGAAAGTAATACTGACACTTGAATTTCTAAGACATTTCTAAGCACACATGGAAATAATTCAGAAACCATTGCAGAGGAAATGGTTTAGAAATCATTACAGAATATATTTCTCAACTGGAAAATTGTCTGACTCACATACATGCTTATAAAGATGGTTCTAATCCACATCAAAATCCAAGATGCATTACTTTTCATGTCTACATTTACTCTGCTGCAGTGTCCCAAACGATTCCCAAATAAAAGCAGTAAGAATTTATATAAAGAATTGAAATCTTCCTAGATTTCAAGATCTTCTAAATTATTGAAGTCTGCTTACACAGTATTTTAGTGTTATTTAGACTGTAAAAAATCACACTCAGCATTTCCAGGTTACTTTTTGTGGTCAATTCGTTTTCTCTCCGGTATGAAATGGGGAGTAACATAACTTCACTTTTAAAAGGTACAAGGAACTATATTTTGAAGTCCCTGATTGCCTAAACCTGATCTGTACATTACAGGGAAAATAACCCAAAGGAAATTTAAGTACAGTAGGTATCTTCTACGCAGGTTCTGTCTGCAAGAACAGAACAAGACAGCAGAAATCCTACCCCTCTCAGTAAGGACGGTTTTCTAAACTGACAGGTTTTCTTGATATAAAACTGGAATATGTTTCATTACTAGCTAATCCTAGAATTGCAAATAATTAATTCATGAACTGATTAATTTACTCTTTATTTTAATTATTATGTAAATCAACTAACCAGATTGATACTTTGTGTCTCTTTTCTTGCTACATCAACCACCTGTGGAGGACAGGAGTCCTAGCTCATTAAGGAAAGCCAGAATGTCTGAACATATTTAAAGATACAATTAAAGTGCTTTGTGGGTGTGAGGGAAAGCATAAGCCTTCAAAATGCCAAAGATTTCATTTAAATATCAGATTATTCGGTGGCATTAGTGGGCACCAACAATTGCAAGTTAGAATAGTGGTGCTACAAGTGATGTTATTAGTAGCTTTATCTTTACATTGAAGAGAAAAGCAAAACCCACCCATGCTTTAGATGTTGCCAATTCCCACAGCTCTGATCATCTTCACAAACCTTGGCTTTATGAGTTCTAGCAAAAATCACCTGTAAATCAAACTTAGAGCTCCTCAGTGATTGTGACAGAAACTGTCTAATTGGAAATTTTGATGTAAGTCTCTTCAGATAAAATTGATATAAAGGTAAATCATGAGAAGGAGGGTTGGGAGATGAATCAACAATTAACTGTAATCACCATTATGAAAGGAAAGTTTAATCATAATTAATTTGAAAACTCTGATTAATTGCTGGCATGTTTTGCCTACTTAAAATGGAAGGGAAAATAATATAATATTTGCAAAAATGACTGGATTGCAAATGCAGTTCAAGGACCAATCTCCCTGATGGATGGCAAGGGGGAGAACTTACAGAGTGAGCCCGTCAAACTGTGCTCTTTAATTTGGGCTCACATGTGATTAACCAGGGAATTTGTGTTCATCTCCTACTACAGTAATTAAGGGGAGGCACTCCAGACTCACACATTCCAGAGGGATCATTTAGTCTGGCTATATTACATGGTTCTCCTATTAATGAGCCATCTCTGTTTAAATAAGGCACTTCCTTCTGCCAAATGAACATTTAAAAACCTTCAAATGTGATGTGGTTGGCAACAAAAGACCAGACATTATGAAGCTGGGCAGATTCAAGTTTTTAAGAGGGTAGAGTGAGGGGAAACACAGATATAAATCATTCAGATGGGGTTTAGATTTTTATATATACCTATGTGTGTGTATATATACACATGTATTAGTGTATGTTATCTGATATCACAGGTGGGACTTGGGGACAAAGCAATGCAGCTCTGTTTTAGGTTTGGTTTCTGAGTTAAACAAACTTGACAGTAAAATAACTTGGAAGATGTGCGTGCATCTCTAAATATCCTTCTACAAAGAAGGGAAAGAATCTATTGCACAGTGTTTCTGCCAGTTGGAATGGTTCCAAAAACCCCTGAAACCTTCTCTGACTGAGACACACTACTATAGTGTAACATATTTGAATGCTTATATTGCTACAAAATCATATTTTCCTTTCCTCAGTGGGCAGCATTTACTACAATTAAAGAAGCTGTCAAAACTTGGAAAACTATCTTGGGAAAAAAAATGGGTTGCAACTGTGTTTCAGACAAATGAAGTAGTCTATACCGGGCCAATTATAATTAGCTTTGCAAATGCAAATGGATAGGTAGCTATTTAGCAGGAAAGCATCTGGGAATTATAACAGGCAACTAGCTATATATCTCTCAGTGGTGTCCCACCATTAAAAAGGGGAAATATCCAAGTGAAACATGTAAACAGGAATATATTCTGTTCATTCTGAAGCAAACCTGCTTCTCTGTGCAGTGCTGGTAAGGGCTTAGGTGGATTTTAATAAAGATGAAAACCTCTAGAGAGAATTCAGAGAACCACAATTTCTACAGTTAAGAGCTCTAGAAAATAGAACCTATGAGAACAAAAGAAAAGAGATAGCTTAGTGTAGAAACTAGACAGAGCAGCAATACCATCAACCCTCAACTAAGTGAAAGAAAAAGGGAATAATCCATTCCTTGTGTTGACTGACATTAGGAAAAAGGTAACATGAATTACTGCAAGGAAGATGCAGAGTAGCTATTGGGAAAAGACTTTGTAATGGGTAAAATAATACTAGGAATGGTGGTCCCAGAAGGAAGTTTCTAAGGAGAAGCTAAACAAGTTTATGTCTGGAAAGCTACAGTCACAAATCCTGTCTAGAAATAGCAGATAGATTAAATGTTGTCTTTTTTTTTCTCTGTAGTTTTAAGCACGTGCTTAAATGTGCTTTGCCATGAGTTGTAAATATATCTGAGCTAGGTTTTACAGGGAAACAACTACAAAAAAGAGATAAATCTTCTCTATGCTTCTGTGGCTGTGCTTCCTCCAACATTTTATCTATTCCCTTAAAAGCTGTCTTAAGTGTTTCTACACCCTCTACCATCTACAGTACCACTATACCCACAAAAATCAAACCACATTAATGCTATTCATGTCTTTCACTGCAAGGTCACATGAAATTAAACTTGTATGACTTGACTAAGAAATTTTGTTAGTTCTAATCTTCCCAACTATTAGAAACATGCATCTCTGAAGTAGATGATAACAAAATTGTACTTCAAAACTGATATTGCTTCTGGGTAGTCTTATAGAAAGTAATGTTAGCAAAGATCAATGTTAATATGAAAAACCAGGCAATTAAAATAAGCAGTGATCCATTATCTTATTTTTACTGGCTCAGTGAAACTGAATTAACATCAAATGAAGAAGAAAAATATCCCAGAACACAATAAGATAACACTGGAGTTGACCCTAATCTGAAATTTCAGATATTGCTTTCATTGGCCAAAATGTTCAAGTTCTACATATAGGTACATGCAGGTAAAAGCCATCTGATTTTCATTCACTGTCGGTATATATCAAGAGAATTCAACAACAGCTGTAGATACTTAATTTTTCTAAATCTGAATTTAGGTGCTCCACTTTAAGGATCTGAATTTAAAAGTTCAGTTTGAGGAGTATACAAAACAGATACAGATTTTGAAACTCCATTGGAAGAGATGGGTAACCTAATTTAAAAAGAAAGAGACACGCTTTTCATAGCAATCGGGCCAGTGACCTACAGTTTTGTTTGCTGAGTATCTACAAACTTCAGAAAAAGATCTTTTTAAAGGAACAAAATGAAAATGGCACACATACGATGTGGAACCCTGCTCCTTTGATCACAAATGCGGCACTGCGGGTTCCTTGCGGGCTGTCCAGGTACATGTTCAACAAGTTTGCAGTACATTTCCCGACCCTTTTCTCCACAGGTGGCATTGGTTGTGATGAGAGCATTAGTGGCCAGGTTCAGCACTGCGGGAAACAACCCTGCAAACAAAATAAAACAAATTCATGAACAAAAGCAACAAAGGTGAATTTAGCAGCACAATCATAAATGAACATAACACCTTTCATGTCATTAAAGCAAAAGGCATCGTTTTCAACAACTATAGAAGTAGTGAAGCACAGAAAAGCACCAACAACTTTGGGTTTGAATATAGAGTTTAGACGTGGGAATAAACCCAAGATACTGATGCTTTCCTTCTTATTCCCTTCTAAAATTCAAACTGGTACCCTCTGGTTGTATCTCGAACAACAGCAGGATGCCAAAGGAGAAAGTAAAGCATGTAAACATACAAAGCACGATAAAATTTTTTCATAATCAAACCTTGTGTTCCTACCCAATTGGACACTGAAACACTGTATGCAAATTACCTGTGAAAACTCTTTTATTTTTCCTCTTTTCTGCTTGCATCTCCATGGGAAAGCTTTTCCTCCACAGACTGCATTACTTGTATTATACACTGTATCACCATTCTGCTTAGGACCTCATAGTCACCCTTAGCTGCTCAAGAGTAGATAAGTAATTCATGCAGCAACATGAACAGCATCTGCCATGTGCGATATCCCTTTCTTCAAGAAGAGGATAATCTATACAACGTTATATCTTTTATGGCAGCAGTGTTGTTATTTTTTTCAGGTGCACATGCTGAGTAATGTATTATAATTCTCATTCAGCACAGCACTTAAGCACATGTCTGAGTACTCTGTAAAAACCATCTGAAGAACAATCATTAAGCTAGGTTACTCTCTTTTGCACTAAATACTGATCAAAACCTTTGAGCGGTAATAAAATTGATGCATGGAGACAAAGCGATATGATGTGTTGAATGTATACATTAGCCCCTCACATTAAATCAGTCAGTTTTGCATCTTTAGAAGCATAATTTGCCATAGCTGCAGGTTAAACCAAAACAACAACAAAACAATCTGAGGTATGGATTGGGATCATCTTCAGATTTATTTGATGACAATTTCCACTGGTCCCAAACCCACCCTTCTGCAACTCATTCAGCTTCTACCCTATTGTGTTATTATAATCTTAAAATAAGTCTTTAATCAAAACTGAATCTGTGATTATTGTACACTGATAAAGCTCCCTTTATAATGACTTTCCTCTTCCTCCTCCACACATGGACAACCATATTCAACTGACTACTTTCGGTCCTTTAACTCCAGTCTCCTGCTTGTCTCTGCAATTAACCTGTATACCATTTAATTACCAAGCTTGGGTGGTCATGGTACAGCTGTCCTCTGACATTGTGAGTTAGTGACTCTGACACTCACATTAAAACCATGTTAAACATACTGCTTGAGCAAGGCAACCAATTAGTTACTAACCCGTCCAATTTGTATAGTCAATCAATAGTTGAGATTTTATTGATGGTGTAGCTTGCTTCTTCTCTATCAATTACAGCCCTTTCTCATCCCATTTTAAAATCTACACAGTTGTTCTTGTATTTTTATTTAATGCATTCATTGATATTTCCTGCCTTATACAATAGGGACATATGGTAAAAATCTGTGTGAGTATTAGCCGAGTAGATGAATTAATAGCTGTGGAACTTCCTATGTTGACTTACAGCCTCATTATTCTTTTTAGGCTGTACAAAGTTAATAGTGTAAAAGCCAGTAATCATTTAGTCTTAACACAGAATCTTGCATTTGCTTTGGAGTTAAGAATTTATTTCCTCAAAAGTGAACCTCACAAAAACGACAGAAGGATCTCATTGCAGTACATGGCATTAGGAGAATAAATCCTTCAAAAAACAGTGCAACAGCTGAAAAAGAGCAGGCAAAAAGCCTCCAGATTCACACAGCTATACAAATATTATGTTATACGTCTATACATAAATCATACTATTTTTCTGTTTTAACTAAAATTTTAAATGTAAGACACAAGTTAATGAAGAGTACTTAAGGAATTCATCAATTAGAGCATAATTTCACTCTCAGATAATGTCTTTTATGTACAGAGCAGATTAGGACAAAACTGCCACACAGCCTTGACCATAATCAGTAAAAACACAAGTGCTGAAACCAGTATTAGGTGTTTCACTAAAGAGACCGTGTCAAGATCCCAGCACCTCAGAGAGAACTGCATCACGTTGCATCCCCACCAGGCTCACAGTAGTGGATCTGACAGGCAAAGAGCAAGAGATGCGTGAAGTGCTCCTACACCGCACCCAACACCACGTTTAGTATTAATGAATTCTCCAGCTCTGGAATTTTAACAAGTTAAAAATTACAGTTAACAACTACATATATGAATGTTTTTTTTAACAGTCTTTGTTTGCTAAGAGCTGGGAGTTATACTCGATAATCTTTAATCTAAATAATAATCCATAATCTTTAATCGATAATCTTTGTGGGTCCCTTCCAACTTGAGGTATTCTGTCATTTTATGATACCGCTTTGTATAGCCCAAAATAAGGCTTTGCTTTTAAAGAACATTTGATGTGCAAGTCTGATGAAATGGAGGAAGCAATACTGTTCATATTGCTTTCTAGCTATTAATATATATAACACTTTCACAACATAGGCATGAGATTCTAGCAATATAGAAGATAATAGAATAATAGAATAGTTTGGGTTGGAAGGGACCTTTAAAGGTAATCTAGTCCAATCCCCTGCAATAAGCAGGGGCATCTGCCACTAGATCAGGTTGCTCAGAGCCCCATCCAACCTGACCTTGAATGTTTCCAGGGATGTGGCATTTCCCACCTCTTTGGGCAACCTGTTCCAGTGTTTCACCACTCTCATGGTAAAAAACTTCTTCCTTATATCCAGTCTAAATCTCCCTCCCTTAGTTTCAAACCAATACCCCTTGTCCTATCACAAAAGGTCCTGCTAAAAAGTTTGTCCCCATTTCTTATAGGCTCCCTTTCAGGCACTGGAAGGCCGCAATAAGGTCTCCCCGCAGCCTTCTCTTCTCCAGGCTGAACAGCCCCAACTCTCTCAGCCTTTTCCTATAAGAGAGGTGTTCCAGCCCTCTGGTCATCTTTGTGGCCTCCTCTGGACCCGCTCCAACAGGTCCATGTCTTTCCTGTGCTGGGGGCTCCAGAGATGGATGCAGGACTTGAGGTGAGGTCTCAACAGACCAGAGTAGAGGGGCAGAATCACCTCCTTTGACCTGCTGGCCACGCTTCTCTTGATGCAGCCCAGGATACGGTTGGCCTTCTGGGTTGTGAATGCACATTGGTGGCTGATGTCCAGCTTTTCATCCACCAGTACCCCCAAGTCCTTGGCATGTCAATCTCAATCCCTTCATCCCCCAGCCTGTATTGCTACCATCGGTTGCCGCAATCCATGTGCAGGACCCTGCACTTGGCCTTGTTGAACCTCATGAGGTTCACATAGGCCCACTTTCTCCAGCTTGTCCAGGTCACTCTGGATGGCACCCTGTCCCTCAGGCATGTCAATCTCACCACTCAGCTTGGTGTTGTCTGCAAATTTGCCGAGGGTGCACTCAATCCCACTGTCTATGTCATTGAGGAGGACATTAAACAGTACTGGTCCCAGTACAGACCCCTGAGGGACACCAGTTGTCACCATTCTTTTTCTGGACATTGAGCCATTGACCACTACCCTCTGGATGCAACCAACCAACCGATTCCTCATCAGCTGAACAGTTCACCCATCAAATCTGTATCTCTCCAATTTAGAGAGAAGGATGTTGTGGGTGACTTTGTCAAAGGCCTTGCAAGCATTTTTTTGAATCCTTTAGCTAGGCCCTTTAAATATGAAATAAATATGTGAATGTTCATGATGTAGTATACACTGTTTACCCTTTCTAAGATTCACATCTATCCAATGATAAATCCCGAGGAAAAAGGCAAGAGAGCTCAAGACACCACAGTTCATTTTTTAGAGAATTTTGCCTTATTTTTCATGATGATAATCACATAGAAGAAGTATTTTTAAATTGGTGTACTAGTTTTGTGTATTTTAAAATTCAATGTCTCACTAAATTATAAAACTTTTTTAGTTATCAATCCCACCTTGAATTCTATGGGCATCCTGCTATGAAATACTTCCAAAACAATGATCTGCTATAATTACAGACAGCTCTTCTTTCTTTATTGCCAAATACCTTTAGTAATCATTTGCTCCAGTGCAAAGACTAGGTAAAACACCTCTGAGTCGGAAACACATTATCTCTATTTTGTGTAGCTCAAATACAAGCAGGGAAATTCTACTGCCTTGAACTGCCAGCTACATCAATCTTTTCCCTCTGTGTCACTGGCAAAAAACAGATTAGCATTCATTTGTACCTGGACAAAATACCAAAATTCTAGAAATTGCATGGAGGAAATAGGTAGAAAACATTGGCTTGTAATTAGGCAGTGGTTTTAGCAGCTTGGATTCAATTTCTAATTTTCAGCAGACTTCTGTTACATGAAGAGAAAAATACAGCCTCAGATTCTCACCTATGAAATGGGCATGGTCATCTTTCTGTTTTCCACTTTGTTTTTTAAGCATGGAACATATTCCATGGAGCTTTTAGAGCGTGGAAGCCCAATAGAGAGTTTGTTTAGTATTGACAGGTGATTAAACTATGAAAGGAAAACAACACAGAAACTAATCAAATTCTTTGAAGTGGTGTACCATGCAAGGGTAATCAAGTAAGCTGCTCAGCTCTCTACAGGATTAGTGATGATAAGCTTAGCACATTTTGTCAGCAGAAATAGTTTTAGAAAAAAAATGATAAAGATGAAAAGCAGCGAGTCAGCAGGAGTATCTGTTTTTTGCCTACAAAATGATGCACTCAAGTTTTACACTGCCATTGTGATAGTTAAGTAGGGTGTGGTACCAAAGTGCTAACTACATTATCAGTGTTTTAAATGGTTCCTGGATCAAAGCAGATCTGAATGTGTATATTAAAGACAAAAGTAGTGGATGCTTGGGATCAGTGCTTTTTTACAGATGCCTCACAAGTCACCCCTTACCAATACTAAAGTTCTTTGTAGATGCTTGTGGAGTCCTGA